TGTGTGCATTGAATTTATTTAATACACGAGTTTCACAATTTGAGTTGAATTACTGAAATAAATGAACTTTTCCACGACATTCTAATTTATTGAGATGCACCTGTATTTTTTGTATTCCACAGAAGAAATAATTTTTTGATGGACTATCTATTTAAGCCAATCAGTAAACATTTGACACATGCAAATTAATCACATAAGTGATTCTACAACCCAATTTCCAAAAATTAAAGACAATTTAGTATTGTGGCACTATAATGTAAATTTAGCAATAGATACATCAAAAAGGGTTTTACATAAATATGCTCCCTGCACCTCTAGAATGCACTGCAGAAACATGGCTCGTACTCTAAAGAGCATGTTACACTGCCTCTGCATTTGTGGGTATGTGGGTTGTGGGTGTGTGAAACAGCAAATTATTGACTAATGTTTGGTTCACCTTGTCTTCTGGAGGTGCAGGCAGCCACAAATTGCTTATCCCCCACCTCAAAAACATGCCGGAGCTGAGAGCAAGGTCAATTACCGCACAGGAACTGAGAGGAGGAGGGGAGACTGGGAAAGAGGAGATCATTAAACAGGAAAGAAAGGAGTGTTGGAATAGTGATAGACTGGAAAGGGAAACAAGCCTGAATCTCTCAAACACTGTCTGGGTCACATGCAGGGTTGCCAGGTCTGCGAAACAAAACTAGTCTAAAGGCCAATCAAAAATAGCCTAAAACTTGTCCAATGACCCTATCCCAATCAAACCCAAAATATGCTACTCCAATTCTTAAAATACATGATTTACAGTCAATGTTATGCATTATACAAAATAAAAATCACTATATCATAAACACAGTCTTTTTTCATAAAGGCTCCCTACCAGTATCCCACTCATACAAAATCTTTCATCTAGCACAGTTTTATCATTGATAGATTAAAAATGGGTAAACTGTTTCATTATACACATTTCAGTCAAATACAACTTATTCAATATGGCAAACCTTTATACGGCAAGAAAAAAAATTAACCCATGGCAGCAACAGTTTACAAGTAGTGCATTTCTGTGGACTTGGAAACCCTGATCATATTATACTATAACACTAAAATCAAAATAAAAAAAAACATAAAATAAAACCTATTACATACATATTTGTTTTACCACTCATAATGTGCAGAAATCCCATTCTTATTACTACAGTAAAAAGGAAAAAAGTAACTTTTTATCTAAAATTTGCATTCCTAAAGTACAGTTATTTAGTGAACTATACTTATGTGAATTAAAATAAACATTTTCCAGACAATCATAGAATTATAGTTATGAAAAATGAGTTTCTCATACGACAATGAGAATTAGGTTGGAAAATGGAAAATTTGGAAAATGTAACCTTTATTTGTGAATCACACTCATGGTCTTTGCGGTCAAAAGTGATCGGACACCTGAAATTTAACTCTTTTTTTTTTCTTCCGTAAAATCAATCTAATATATTTTTGATCAATAATATTTTTTCTTTTGTATTTTGAGAAAATGTTATGGTAATAATTAATATTTATGCAATAATTATACATTTTTCCCATTGAAAATAGTACAAAAAAAATGTCTCTAATTTTTTAAAATTATTTTTCAATTAATGCAGTATCTCAGATTAAAATACAGACTAGGACTTTAAAATCCATTTTTTGAAGGCAGATTAGCACCTCCTGGTGCGAGCAAAGAAAGAAAAACATGTAATTTCATGGTGTAACCACTAGATGCCTGTATAGGAATCTATAGGGAGGCTTTTGAATTCCCTACTTGTTTTTATACATAATTATTTACTTTTATTAGGTTGTGGATTTAAATGTATATTTAGGCATTCTCAAAGACTGCTTTTTGCCAAGGTTTATATTTTTTGTTGTTGTAAATGTTGATTTGAAATCCGTTTTTGAATTATTATTACTACAGTCAAACCTGAACACAGAAAGCGATGTGTCTGTTTTGCACTCTTGATGTTTTAGAGTGTAACCCCTTCCTTGCTGTCCACTTTTTTTACTAAATTGTAGTTGAATTATTGATTTTATTTTACATAGTTGCTGTGTTACAGGCACACCAGTTTATAGGGGTGTGTGTTTGTGTGTGAGTGTGAGTGGGTGTGTTGATTTTGCACTCTAGATGTTTTAGAGTTTCACCCCTTCATTGCTGTGCAATTTTTTTCTGCATCGTGGGGGATTTGTAGATTGTGCACACAAAAATGTTCTGTATTTTCACAATTTTTTCCCATTTCCCATTCACTTCCTATGGTAGGTCATTTTTGACCGAAGACCATGAGTGTAACACTTAGCTTTTTCGAGTCATGCCCTCAATTTTTTTGTGTGTTCACATACCAAGTGCCATAAAAGTCGCCAAGTTTCGTACCATTCTGATGAAGCTACGATTTTTAAAATTTCTAAATGTCAAATTTTGACCACACAAAGGTTTTAATTGTAATGAAAATAATACAAAATCTTCATCACTTTGCAAATTCTATATTTCTTTTCTTTGGGATGAAATACCACTGAACTCTAGGGTTGTTAATATGCTAGATCATAACCAAACGGTTGTCAAGGTTACGGCTCTGGTTACAATGTGATTGTTGTCATGACAACACTGCTGAAAAGTGCTATGTAGTATATTGTTGACGGTGTGTTTTGGGTAAACTGAGGACAGAGGCATGTGCAGGGTGTCACTAGAACATACACACACTCACAAACAATACACTTAAAGTATTTACTTCACTATCATTTCATAGAAGGTTAATCCTATGATTAGGCTCTTTCAAAGCATCTAGACTAACCAAATCATTACTGCCTGTGTGGAGATTATGTGAGACTTCACTGAATCCAAACAGAAGGAAATTTAGTGATGTTTTTTAACCTAAAAATCCTTTTTAAATGAAATTCAGACTGGCCTTTTTTACTTGAACATACTGAATTGTGTTCATAATCTCACACACAAACACACACACATTCAGCCCCATGAGGGAGATTAAATGATTTATGTCACACTGTGCAGGGGTCAAAATTACAAATTCTGATCTAATTCCCTCTTTATTAATGGTGACCAGGGTGAGAGGAGGAGGAGGGTAGAAGAGAACAAGGCAGGAAGATGAAGGTAAAGAGGGTTGCTTAGATGAATAACTAGCTCTGAGAGAACATTTCTCATCATCTAATGAGGATTGGTGATCTGGGTGGTTCTGACGGAGAGTGATGGGAGCCGTTTGACGCTTCATTTGAACACAGCTGGTGTAATGGTCTGAATCTTTAAATCACCCATCAAGAGACAGTGGAGAGTAATTCAGTGCAAGGCTAATGTTGGAGGAATGCATAGATACATAGAAATAAATGGATATATAGATGGATAGATAAATATATAAATCAAAATCAAATTACAATTTTTCTTTTCAAAATTAAGATTGCGAATCCAGGTTTGCTTGTAGAGTTGCACAATTTGGCCAAAATGTTGTGATATCAAAATGGCTATAATTAAAAATAATAACTAATTGTTGTTATTATTATTGTTGTTGTTGTTGTTATTGTTATAGAAGCAAAAGAGGAAAAAATACTATTAAAATATATCACTGTAAAATAACAAATCTAAACAACTACTGTATAAACTCATAATACTAATATTTATGGCTGGCTGAATTTCTTTTGTGTTGATGAAAAACCACAAGGAGCTCTTAAAGGTTCTCTTTTGTTAAAGGGATAGTTCACCCAAAAAATGAAAATATTGTCATGTCGTTCCAAACCTGTATGAGTTTCTTTCTTATGTTGAACATAAAAGATATTTTGAGGAATGCTGGTAATCAAACAGTTGATGGTCCCCATTGACTTCCATAGTATTTCTTTCCCTATTATGGAAGTCAATAGGGACCAACAACCATTTGGTTCTTCAAAATATCTTCTTTTGTGTTCAACATAAGAAAGAAACTTAAACAGGTTTGGAACAACATGAGGGTGAATGATGACAAAATTTTCATTTTTGGGTGAACTATTCCTTTAAGCACTTCTCATTACAAGTATGGGAAGTTGGTTGGATGGATGGATACATTAGATATAGAGGAATAGATAAATATATAGATTCATGGAAAGATATTGATGGATTAGATGTGGGTTGATGGATGGAGATGGATGGATATATACAGATGATAGATAAATCATCTGTAGGCTCCTTGCTTGGTTTGTTGCAGAGCTCATTATTCATACTAATGAGAGACCGTATCAGCACCAGAGCGAAGATCTGCTGTGATCAGACTTGAAACGTGAATCCTGACAATATACAAAAAATAACATCATGCAGGTCTTAAGCAGTTACCACAAGGAATTAATGTAGACACACAAACAGTCTTCAAGTCACCCTAAAGATCATGGTTGTGTCTAAGCAATGAAAGCTTTCACTCAGCATAATGTACACACAAGTGTGCACACTTATTTGGGCACATTGACGCTACACATCCATACATAGAGTCTATACGCTCACGTATGCCCAAACATCTGCATAGTTACACATTTGAGAATGTAAATATTCCATCGTAAAGTCTATTCATAAAGAATGTAACAAACACGGAAGTTTGATGTGTGGTGCTTAATAGGACAAGCTTTGAGTTGGATCTGTGGGAATCATTGACCAGTGACCAGATATTAAACACTCTGGCCTCATTGTGTCAGGTCTCTTTTCGGTCCTAGTAAGGTATGTGTGAGTTTTACACAGCCACACACAACCTAGTGTCTGTTTGTAGCTTTTTCTCATAGGAAAGTTTTGTTTCGGATTAATCTGATAATCCTGCTTCGTCACAAAGATAAGGTTTTCGTTTCTGATCCGTAATGAAGCACAGTCGCTGTAGAGTGGGCTGCGCATATTCAAACATGAAAGTCAAGTTATTGTAATTAAACTATCAGATGCCAACTCCAGTGCCACTGAAGCCTGGCCCGGAATACTGCAGAAATCTGTTTGACATAACTAGGTTAGAAAATGTTCCTGTTTCTCCATTCTTTCAGTCATAACTTTCATTTAGCACCACATTCTCAGACTTGTGTGCTCTGTTTTCGCAGCAGGCTTTCCATGGGAGGAAGGCGATAAGGAAATGGGGAAGAGTGCTGATCTGACAACACAAGAGCAACACGATGAACTGACAACATCAGCTAGCGTGACGACTCTCAGGAACACAGGTAATTAAAACTGATGCAATACACGCCTTTATGTAATCTACACTTGTGATAATTATACTCCGATTTTCATCTTGGGACATGAACCAGTTTTCAAAATACAAGTATAATTGAGAAACTTTTGACCTGAGTAAATAGCACTACATTCAAGCCGCCCAGACTAATTTGTTACAGGAATAGTTCACACAAAATGAAAAATTGTCGTAGTTTACCCAACTTCATGTCATTCCAAACATGTATTTTATCACAAAAGTATCAGTCCACAAAAGTAAATGCCCACTTGAACACTTGAGCCTGCCAAATACAGGAAAGTAGACAAGTGCTCAAGTACAAAGGCCGCATGTGTGGGTATTGGAGCAGGCCCATTGAGTCTCAAGAACCAGACCAGTGTAATTTGTGAATCTTTTAATTTGTGACTTCACTAGATCAGCCAATTAACCCAAAAGATCTGATTCAAAAGAACAATTTGTTCACACATTTGACACTACTTCACTCGTGAACTGCCATAAATACTCCAGGTACTGCTAGGATGGATGTTAGTGTTTTCAGTGAATAAAGACTTTTATTTTGGTCTTTCTCACGCAAAACCAGCATATGACTTCAGAAGAGTTGGTATATAGTGCATATGGACCACATTTATGATATGTTTATGGACCATTTTTGGAGATTCAAAGCTCTAATATTCATTATAATTGTGTATGGAAAAGGACAAATAGTGCATTCTGCTAAATTTTGAAGATATGAGGATAGGTAGATTTTGTGTAAAATATCCCTTTAAGAATATCATACCAGCTCTCCGTTGGTTGAACAAACAGATAGTCCTGCCTCAAAACAAACATTATTGAGCCTGTGTAGCTGTGTCTGATTGGTTGGGATGTCCAAACAAAAAGATAAAAGTTTTGATACATTTTCTAAAGGAATCAACCTTGAAATGGCTTACTTGTTTCTGCACATTATACTGGGTTAGGATAATGTATTTTAACATTAAATAATGCACACATCAGCTGGAAGGATGTAATATGTTTCCCAAACACAGTAACAAGTGAGCCAACTTGTCTTGTTTCCTTCACTGAAAAATGCAAGTCAAACTCTTCCTCTTCCTCCTCCTCCACATGATTTGGAGGAAGATATCTGTTGGTATGGTATGGCCGAGTGCTCCACGACCAACCGTCTGTTACCTGCCAGTAATTGCTTCCAGAGGGAGAAGAAACGAGCACTTTTATCTCATAGTTGGCACCTCCTACAAACAAGCCGACCACTAAACTGCCCAAGAGAGTTGAGTTACGCAACGTGTCTCAGTAGATCAGATCTATCAACATATGGCGTTAAGTGTGCCATTTTACGTCACCTTCCTTGTTGATCATGAGGTGCATCTTCGACCCAGCTTCTCTTCTGTGGCAGCTAACCTACTTTCTTCCCGCTGCATTCAATGGGATAACCTAAATTCCATTAATAGATGGACAAAATATGCCACAACGATCCAAGAACCAGGTTGCGAGAATATCTGTGTGTTTATGGGCTGTCTCATAAAGTAAACTGCATGCAGAGATCCGACCCACAAAACTGCAGCTGCCGTATCTCAAATTAAAGATGCAAAAGGTTTCTAAATCTAGCACACACATTCACCTCACCCGAAAATTGAATGTCCTGTGAGAAGGAAGTGGATCAGAAGGTCTTCCTGTCTCCTTCCTGTCATTTCTCCTTCACTGCCCTCTTCTTTAAGTCAGCATACCCAGGCCTCATCAATATGAACGGGATCATCCTACCCTGCTGTCCACTCATCTATTATTAGAGAGAGCAGAAATTGAAAGTGAGGCAGGATAGATGAAATCTGAATGAGTACTTGTAACGAAATCACAGCACTGTATTCCATAATTAAGCAGAGGGTGCTGTTATTATCGGATCAGCGAGTCATGTCTGAATTTCTAATCCTAAAATACTTGTTGCTGGTTCACATTCTGACAACCTGGAAAACTCTCAGATCCTCTTTACACCTCAGTCTTGGGTGATTCGATCAGCTGACGCATTGGTGTATATGCTAATTGCATACAAAAAAAAGGTAACACTTTAGTATAGGGACCAATTCTCACTATTAACTAGTTGCTTATTAGCATGCCTGTTATTAACATA